TCTATGACTACTAACGTTCAATTTCTCCAGTTCTTCTTTGGCGCTAGCAACTCGTACTTTCAAAATCTGTACGTTTTCTTCCATTTCCTGTCGCTGGAAGTCCAAAGAACTTTTTACAGCGCGATTGCCTGTTGTTGCTGCGGGACGGGCAGCTTCTGGTGTGAAAGACAAATGCTTCGGTTGCAGCGACTCGTTGTCACCTTCTGAACTAGGCATTCCCAGGTCAGAGACAACTATTCAAGATGTTCCATTCCTTCTGATAAATATTTACGCTCCCAATACCACCACTAAGCAATTGTTGTTCTTCCAAACATTGTCTGAGCTTATCTATGATGAGGGATACAATGATTTTGACTACAAAATTATATTAGGAGGGGATTGGAACGTAACTATGGACCCAGACCTAGATTGTTCGGGTGGAAACCCTGTGTTAAAAGACTCAGTTAAGTGTGTGGAGGACATTATGCTGAATTATGATTTAGTTGACATCTGGAGAATCCGTAATCCTAATAGCAAGAAATTTTCTTGGAGACAAAAAAGCCCAATTATTCAAAGACGCCTTGATTATTGGCTCATTAGTGACCTATTACAAGATGACGTAGCTAAAGTCGACATAGTGACAGCTATAAGAACGGATCACCATGCAATAACTTCAGAAATTGACAGTCTAAATGATCAGCAGCGTGGCCCATCTTTTTGGAAGTTCAATAACAGTCTCTTGGATGACGCTTTTTTCGTTGAGCGTTTACGCGAGAACTTTCCTAAGTGGATAGACGAAATTAATTTTTGCGATGATTCGAGAATTAAATGGGACTGGATGAAATACAAAATTCGCGGGGAAAGTATATCGTATAGCAAACTGAAAGCTAAAGAAAGGAGAAATAGAATTCAAACAATTGAAAACAGGCTTAAAATATGTGAGGAAAAAATAGCAGAATCACCGACGCAAGAAAACCTTGCCAACCTCGAATCGGTCAAAACAGAATACGAACAAGAGTATGATTACATTGTAAGAGGCTCAATCATTCGTTCCCGCGCTACATGGTTTGAACAAGGGGAAAGAAACAACAAGTATTTTCTAAATCTGGAAAACAGAAATAAGAAAAAAAGCTGCATACGAAAACTTATTCGAGCAAATGGAGAAGAGACTACTGTTCCGGACACTATTATGACTGAAATTCACAGTTTTTATTCTGAACTTTATGACGAAAAGTCGGGAATACAAACTGACTATTCGATTTGTCCTTTTCTGGAAGATACCCTCTCATCTCCTAAGTTAATCGACTCAATGCGGGAAACGTGCGAGGGTCAATTAACATATTCCGAATGTTTCAAGGTTCTGTCTACCTTTAGTAACGATAAAACTCCTGGAAACGATGGGCTCACTATAGAATTTTACAAGTTCTTCTGGTCAGAAATCGGAACATTTCTAGTGGACTCATTAAATTATGCGTATTTTCATGGTGAATTATCTCATTCGCAAAAGGAAGCCGTAATAACTTTAATTGAGAAAAAGGACAAAGATAGGAGATGGATAAAAAACTGGAGACCGATTTCTCTGGTAAATGTTGATGTTAAAATTGGCTCAAAAGCTATCGCTAAAAGGCTAGAAAATGTCCTACCAAATATTATCCATTATGACCAGAATACCTTTGTAAAAGGACGAACAATTTTTGATGCAACTCGTACGATAACCGATGTGTTGGAATTTACTAAAATGCGAGACTACCAAGGTATAATGACTGCAATTGATTTTGAGAAAGCCTTCGATTCTCTAAATTGGAACTTCCTCCACAAATCGCTAGAGTTCTTTGGCTTTGGAGAATCCTTCTTGGGGTGGATCAAGACGTTTTATAATAATATATCAAGTTGTGTTTTCAATAATGGTTCTTCCACCCCCTCTTTCAATGTTAAACGGGGTGTTCGCCAGGGCGACCCACTCTCGCCATCTCTTTTCATAATAGTACTTGAATTATTGGCATTATCCATACGTAATAACGATCAAATTAAGGGTATTGAGGTGGATGGTTCCGAAATCAAATTAGTTATATTCGCTGATGATATGACATCATTTGTTAGGGACAAATTTTCGCATCGCACCCTTTTTGATACTATCGATCTGTTTAGTACATACTCCGGATTGAAGGTCAATCACGACAAAACGGAAATGCTTCTACTAGGAAATATGGAAGTAAACAGCTCAGAACTAGGTGTTAATGAAATAAGTAAGGCCATAAAGATCCTAGGGGTTCATTTCACCTTTAATCACGCACTGTTTTATAAGTTTAACTTTGAATCAATCGAGAAATCTCTGAGGGGATTGCTGAAGGGCTGGAGCTGGAGAGGTCTTACACTACTTGGAAAAATTCAAGTGATCAAGTCTTTCGCCATACCAAAGGTTTTATACAGGGTTGTTCTCATTTCAAATAAAGAAGAGTTTATCAAAAAAATAAATACTTTGCTATATTCCTTTGTTTGGAAGGGAAAAGATAAAGTAAAGCGCAGAGCTTTTCTTAACCCTATTGATAAAGGAGGCTTGAAAATGCCCAACATTGAGTCAATGATCTCTGCCCAAAGAATAATTTGTATTAAGAGATATCTCTCCACTGATCCCGCTGGCTGGAAGTTTTTTCTGGATTTTTATCTTAAGAAAGTAGGGGGAAAATTCTTGTTTCATTGCAATTTTAACTACACTAAACTACCGGTAACTCTTCCAGAATTTTACAAAGAATGCATTGTGGCGTGGACCCTTTTAAATGAAGACAACCCCTCCTCATCCTCTGAAATAGCAAATCAGCTCATATGGAACAACCAGTTCATTTGCATTGAATCAAAGTCAGTCTATAACAGTAGGCTGATTGATCTTGGAATTGTAAAAATTGGAGACCTCTACGACACGTGGGGAGGTTTCAAGTCGAACAAGGAACCATTATATTCAACTCTCTCACCAGCTGAACATTTTCTACTTTTCAGTCTCTTCAATGCTTTTCCTGAAGAATGGCGCAAAACATTAAAAACAAATAAAAACTCTATCTCTTCAAAAACTCATGATCTAATCCAAACTGATTTCAAGTTACGTATTGAAGGGGAAAAAGTCAATTTCCAAAATCTTAAATCAACAACAACAACAACAACAACAAATTTTATTGAAAATGGGAAAATAACTAATTACATTACTTTCCCACCCGCAAATAGCTTATGAACTAATCGAGGCGGGGGGAGCTGAAGACATATTACAAAACAAGATTTATATATAGATGGACTAAATAACAGTGAAGACACTACAATACAGTAAATAGAATTTAAACTAACATAAAACAAGGCATGTACATAACGATTACGAAGAGAGGTTACCCTAAAGTATTAAATAACTTAATAAGACGGGAGACTTCGACGTTAACGTTGAAACTTTAGATTTGAGATCGTTATTTTCTCTCTTTAGGTTGGCAATAGACTCAGGCATAATGTGACACACGAAACAAGATAACAAAACAAATAGAAAAAAGCAGAAGGAACACTTAAACACCAGAAATTTACGAAATATTACGCGGAGGACTTAAACACGCGGCCGTCTATCTTAACCACATCACGTGATCCCATTATATGACAGTTTTGTTTCTAAGATATCCAGTATACCAACAGCGCAAAAGAAATATAACGAAGCTTTCAGCACACACACATTTCAGTTGGACTGGGAAAAGATATATCTACTGCCCTTCAAAACAACATTGGATACTAAATTAAGAGAATTCCAATATAAAATATTAAACAGGATCTTATACACGAACAAGATGCTGTTTAAGTTCAAAAAAGTAGATTCTCCCTTGTGCGATTTTTGTGAAAAGGAGTTGGAGATCATAGAACATCTCTTTTTCCATTGTACAAAAATAAGCATGTTTTGGAATGATTTAAAGTCTGTACTTGATTCTTTTAATATAACTATTAGGTTTGATATCATGAATGTCCTTTTTGGGATCTTAGATACAGATAATATAAGCATTCTAGTCAATTACATCATTCTTGAAAGCAAATATTTTATTTACCGCTGTAAGTTAAATAAGGGCTGTCTATGTGTAAGACTGTTAGTCGATAAATTTAAAAAAACGTTTCAAACCGAACGTTTTATCGCGAAAAGAAACAACAAAATCCATTTCCATGATAAAAAATGGAAGCCGTTACTCCCATTAATACAACAGTAGCTGTTATCCAAACTTCGTTTTTCTAATACTCCCTGTATTACTCTGTTTTTTAAGTTCAAGTCGAATAAGTTATGTAAGCCTTGTAGTGTAGTGCAGTGTAGCTTTTTATTTATTTATTCTATTTTCTTTTTTTTTTTTTTTTTGTAATTAAGATAGTTGTTGTAAATTTTGTAATGTTTGTTTGTTTCGATCTGTATGTTGTTTGTACTATACCTGTAAAAAGAAAATAAATAAATAAAATACAAAAAAAAAAAAATTCCCAGGTCAGTTCGTCTCATTTTACTAGGTAGCGGTGAATCTATTTCACTTGATTGCAGAAAAATTTTTTTATAATCCCGTTCTTTTACTTCTTCCCATAAACTGATATCACCGTCTTCGTCGCGATAACGTACACGAATGTTTGAAGCGGGTAAGTGGGCGAGTGGCAAGCAGTTGCGTTTTATCTCCTGCATAAGTGATATCCTTGATTACGAAAGTGCAAAACCTTTCTTCTCCGTTCTTCACCTTCACCTGATAATCCGCCATGCTGTTTACTGAATATGCGTTCTCAGCGGATAAACATATCGTTTCTCCGCTGTGATTGGCCACTTGCCCGACATCAGACATCAGGCATCCAAGCTTGTCAAAAATATGTCAAAAACATGTTAAAAAAATTTGTCTGGTGTTCACGGTAGCGCACGCAACACAGTAAGTATGAAGCTCCAACACCACCTTTATCTCCGATTTCTTCTTTAATCGTCAGTTCTTTTTGAAGGTATTCTTCAGCCTTGGTATATTGACCATCAGAATGACACACAGTTCCTAGATTTCCGTGATTTGATGCTTCTCCTTTTTGTCAGCCATTTCTTTCGTGATCACTAGCGCTTTCTGAAGGTATTCTACAGCCTTGGTATATTGACCAACAGACTGAAAAAAAGTTCCTAGATTTTCGTAAGCTGATGCTTCTCCTCGTTTGTCACCGATTTCTTTCCTGATCACTAGTGCTTTCTGAAGGTATTCTTCAGCCTTGGTATATTGACCAACAGATTGAAACACAGTTCCTAGATTTCCGTAAGCTGATGCTTCTCCTTCTTTGTCACCGATTTCTTTCCTCATCACTAGTGCTTTCTGAAGGTATTCTTCAGCCTTGGTATAATGACCAACAGATTGAAACACAGTTCCTAGATTTCCGTAAGCTGATGCTTCTCCTTGTTTGTCACCGATTTCTTTCCTGATCACTAGTGCTTTCTGAAGGTATTCTTCAGCCTTGGTATATTGACCAACAGATAGAAAAACTGTTCCTAGATTTCCGTAAGCTGCTGCTTGTCCTCGTTTGTCACCGATTTCTTTCGTGATCACTAGTGCTTTCTGAAGGTATTCTTCAGCCTTGGTATATTGACCAACAGATTGAAAAACAGTTCCTAGATTTCCGTAAGCTGCTGCTTGTCCTCGTTTGTCACCGATTTCTTTCCTGATCACTAGTGCTTTCTGAAGGTATTCTTCAGCCTTGGTATATTGACCAACAGATTGAAACACAGTTCCTAGATTTCTGTAAGCTGATGCTTCTCCTTCTTTGTCACCGATTTCTTTCCTGATCACTAGTGCTTTCTGAATGTATTCTTCAGCCTTGGTATATAGACCAACAGATAGAAAAACAGTTCCTAGATTTCCGTAATCTGATGCTTCTCCTCGTTTGTCACCGATTTCTTTTGTGATCACTAGTGCTTTCTGAAGGTATTTTTCAGCCTTGGTATATTGACCAACAGATTGAAACACAGTTCCTAGATTTCCGTAATCTGATGCTTCTCCTCGTTTGTCACCGATTTCTTTCCTGATCACTAGTGCTTTCTGAAGGTATTCTTCAGCCTTGGTATAATCACCAACAGAAAAGAACACAGTTCCTAGATTTCCGTAAGCTGATGCTTCTCCTTTTTTGTCACCGATTTCTTTCTTGATCACTAGTGCTTTTTGAAGGTATTCTTCAGCCTTGGTATATTGACCAATAGATTGAAACACAGTTCCTAGATTTCCGTAAGCTGATACTTCTCCTTCTTTGTCACCGATTTCTCTACTAATCAAAAGTGCTTTTTCAAGGTATTCTTCAGCCTTGGCGTATTGACCAACAGATTGAAAAACAGTTCCTAGATTTCCGTAAGTTGATGCTTCTCCTTTTTTGTCACCGACTTCTTTCTTGATCTCTAGTGCTTTTTGAAGGTATTCTTCGGCCTTGGTATATTGACCAACAGATAAAAACACAGTTCCTAGATTTCCGTAATCTGATGCTTCTCCTTCTTTGTCACCGATTGCTCTCCTGATCACTAGTGCTTTTTCAAGGTATTCTTCTGCCTTGGTGTACTGACCAACAGATAGAAAAACAGTTCCTAGGTTTCCGTAAGCTGATGCTTCTCCTTCTTTGTCACCGATTTCTCTCCTGATCACTAGTGCTTTTTGAAGGTATTCTTCAGCCTTGGTGTATTGACCAACAGATTGAAAAACAGTTCCTAGATTTCCGTAAGCTGATGCTTCTCCCTTTTTGTCACCGATTTCTTTCTTGATCACTAGTGCTTTTTGAAGGTATTCTTCAGCCTTGGTGTATTGACCAACAGATTGAAAAACAGTTCCTAGATTTCCGTAAGCTGATGCTTCTCCTTTTTTGTCACCGACTTCTTTCTTGATCACTAGTGCTTTTTGAAGGTATTCTTCAGCCTTGGTATATTGACCAACAGATAGAAACACAGTTCCTAGATTTCCGTAATCTGATGCTTCTCCTTCTTTGTCACCGATTTCTCTCCTGATCACTAGCGCTTTCTGAAGGTATTCTTTAGCCCTGGTATATTGACCAACAGATTGAAAAACAGTTCCTAGATTTCCGTAAGCTGATGCTTCTCCCTTTTTGTCACTGATTTCTTTCTTGATCACTAGTGCTTTTTGAAGGTATTCTTCAGCTTTGGCATATTGACCAACAGATAGAAACACGGTTCCTAGATTTCCGTAAGCTGATGCTTCTCCTTCTTTGTCACCGATTTCTTTCGCGATCACTAGTGCTTTCTGAAGGTATTCTTCAGCCTTGGTGTATTGACCAACAGATTGAAAAACAGTTCCTAGATTTCCGTAAGTTGATGCTTCCCCTTTTTTGTCACCGACTTCTTTCATGATCACTAGTGCTTTTTGAAGGTATTCTTCAGCTTTGGTATATTGACCAACAGATAGAAACACAGTTCCTAGATTTCCGTAACATATTGCAACTTCGCGATTGTTTCCAGTCTCAGTCTTGATTCCGAGTGCCTTCTCGTAAAACTGTTTTGCTTCCTTGTATTTGCTTCTTTGATAGTAGATGTTCGCTAGTTGAAGTAATATTATCCCTTCTTGTTCCTTTTTGCCACCATTGTGTAGTGTCACTAGTAGTTTTTTACCACATTCTATGGCACTGGTGTGATCATACATAAGAGTATAGCCATCAAGAAGTTTATGGTACATAGACATAACAAGTGGTGTGGTAAGTTCTTTGATCGTTTGTAGGGCTTTGCCGTCAAGGAGCACCAAACATTCGTTAAAGATGTCTACTGCTTTTGTAATACGTCCAGTGTTGAAAAGGAAAGTTGCAACGACTGCACTAATATGAATGGTCTGTAGCATCTCCAAGATGTTGTCCATGCCGCTTGTTTCGTAACCTTGAGAAAAAATATTTTAAGAGTAAGAAAGTGATAACAAGATTCTTAACGTCTTTTTAACTGAACAGTTAAACTTCTTAGGCAAGATAATCAAGACTTCATGTAAGATTTGCTGAGGTAGGTCACGACTAAAAGCGTTGGACTATCATTTCTTTGCCCTATTCTATACTTGTTGAATCTGTAAATGAATAATTTTACAGAGTAGTATGGTAACCTACTGTTTACCATCATAAACCGTACTGTTAAAAATTCTGTACAATAAAACTATTTCAGTCACAACCTTTGCAAATCGGCGAACCCAGGTTTTCTCCTACTCCTGACTCATTCCCCACGCTGTTTGATATCTTTACTTACCGTTTGAAATTTAAAACACTTACACGTACTACACTCTTTTAATATAACACATGAATTTCATATATTGGATCTACGCAATGATGAAATATATCAGTCTAGTGATTCCGCTATTCCAATCTAAGAAATTCAGGTGAGCTTTTACGCGAAAACATGCTCTCTCCACACGTGAAGATAACTTAAGAATTGGTTCATAGCCTTCGCGTGCGTATTCCGAGTTATGGATACACGCGGGAACTCTCGCTTCTTGAGTGCTCTCTAAACTTCCCACGTGCATCTAAAACTCGATATACGCACAGCTAAAAGCATGAACCCCTTTTTTTATAACAAAGCTATCAAAAACTCTTTCTTATTGATTAACTGCAACATTCTCTTAACGAGCGGCACATAAAAACAAACGCTTCTGTTGGCTGGTTACAAACACTTGTGTAGGGTGTTCTGTGTATTATTGGTGTCCTGTGTAATTAATAAGGGGAGTTTTTTCGAGATTGCGTTTGTGTCGACACACATTTGCCTCGGTTTGAAGTGATTGCTTACGTTTTGCCTCACTTTGACGCGCAAACTGACGTGGTGATTCGTGTGTCCTCGGCGTTCATCATTCAAAAGCTTTCAAACGTTTGCTCAGGCCTGCTATTTGTCTTCGTAAAGAGTACATATTTCAAAAGTTTGCTGTAGGTCTACTATCGATTTTACTTTGGATTCAGAGCCTTCATATTTTTCAGCATGGTTCGTTACTGTCTTTGGAAAATGTGTATGACCCCTGGTGCATGCACCAATGAACCGGGTTGTTTAGCTCGGCAGCCGTTGTGCCACCAAGTAAATCTACCGAGATGTGAAGCACGGCGGCGCCATTTCATCATGACTTGTGATATTTTCGTCACCGGACAAACGAACATTTTAGCTCTGTTATTTATTCGGAAAAAACTTATAAACCAGCCTACAGTAGCGCTACTCAAGTCACTGAAATCAACACACTCGACCAAATTACTGAAAAAGTTATATTGCACACACATCCCATTGGAGGCTGTGATGATTCCCTTGAAACGTGTGAGAGGTGTACTGTAAGTGAACCAGTGTTCAAACACAATTTATTGTGCCCCAGCGTTCATGACACAAAAAATGTGGTCTTGGGTCTTTAATATCAACACAAGTTGAGAAGACTTGCCAGTGAATGGTTTCATTTTATAGCAAATTTCAGTAATTGTCTACATGTGGAATTCCCAATAAATAACATTAATGATTACATCTAAAACGTTGTCAACTGTTTGCTTTTTAACAATACCTGACCCGGGTTGTTCGAAGGTGGTTAAGATAACCCAGGGTTAGTGCGAAATTTGAATTCAGATGTGAAAGCTTAAAAAGTAACTTCAGTTTAATTCATTTTCTCAACAAGATGATGATTGGATGCTCTTAAAAATAGCAGAGAAAATTATCTGAAGAAATGTTTTTGAACAAAAGAAAAAGAAACCCGGGTTAAGCGCTAATCAAGCCTTCGAACAAGTGCGCCCTCTGGTCAGTGTCTCTACAAATTGCAAGCACTTGAGACTAACCATCCACACGATATCACCTAGACTGCAAAACAGTCGTTTTTTTTTCTCAAAATCAGTAAAGAAATAGGTAAAGCGTGCCGCGAGCCTCACGCACCCGAAGGGCGTGTGGGGCGAGAGAAAAAAACCGTCTTTCCCCAGTCTCGCTCTCTGTTTTCAGCCTCGTTCCAGATCTTTTGTTTGACTGCTCGCGCGTACTTGAATACGCAAAAATACGGACTGTTCTACAGTCTAGATATCACCAGGAGGTGTGCGCACTACGATCACTAAGCATCATGGGCGGTATTCAAAATCTGATCATTTGTGTCAAGATAGCGTGGAGTGAACATCTCGACTGCGGAGTGAATATTCGTTAATTACGCTGCAGAAATAAACGATTTTGCTTTGAATCTCTTCCGGAAGCTTTTGAAAAACAAAGGCTGTCGAATTCTCAGGGAAAAAAAGTCTCATTCCGTTGATAAGTGTATTCTGGTGTATTTTGTTCGTAATCAATTGCATTATGTTTGCAACTGACCGAGAAAAGTCTGTACAGACTGGAGAGAACCGCTTTGTTCAATGCTTCAGTCATGAAAAGCACTGAAGGTAAGACCCGCGGTTCGCCGAACATTTTTTATTTCACCGTGAAATCAGTGCAAACAAGTGCTAAGAGGTACTGATTTGCATACAGATAGCGGTAATAATAAACTCTTAAAACAGTAGGAGCTTCTTCAAAATACTCGGCCACGGTATAAACACAGTAAGCTTACTTTCTTTTGTCATTCAGCAAGATGTTCATTTGCTAGGTATAATAAGAGTAGTTGAGGGGGTCATCTTTTCAACGACTTAGTCCTCTGTTGGCACCATGTCTACAATTCCTTTTGTTCAACATCTGTATTTATCATCACATGAAGACCAGCAAATAAAGTAAAGAGTATTTGTGTACAAGGATTGACTTGTGTCCTCTTCATAGATAATATTAATATTGAGCACCTTTTTTTAAGCAATACTGCAATTTTGATATATATTTCCTATTGGTACGAGTCATAGAATGTCTTAACAGGATTGAAACCGAAAATGGCATATTTGTGATTACAAAGCCTGATGCAGTCAATAGATTTTAAAGCCATTCAGCTACTATTTGTTTAATGATTGTGTCAGTATGTACAGGCAAATGTTATTACATATTTTTTTGCATTATAAAAACTCTTCAAAATGTGAAATTCGTGCATGTTTACAAATTTCCTGTAATCAGGGTTGGGAGACCCCTTTCCTTTCTTATGACGCCCCTCCCTTCCCCCAATTCTTCCCAATTCAAATATGGTGTCATAGGTCTCATTACATTTACAGTCAACTCTGTTATACGGACACTGAGGGGACCGTAGAAATTGTCCATTTTAATTTAGGAAAAAATTAAGGGCTTCTTAGCTTTCCTGGGAACAAAGCAAGCTGTCTTTAATGATGAGCAAGGCTGTGCTCTAAGGAACATTTAAAGAAGCCCAGTTCTTTGAACCTGTAAAATCTAGGCTGGGCAGCATATGTTTTGTACGAAAAATCGGAGATTTTCTAGTCACCCAAGAGCAAAAGTTTGGCACTAGGGGCCACCGGGCTCTGCTAGAGCACAGCCTTGATGAGGTGTCTGTATTAAGCGGGTGTTCGTAAAGCGGGCTTTTGGATTACCAATTATTGCAGTGGTGGATCCTAGTAGTACAGTAAAACCCCGTGACTTAGAACCTGAATTTCCTCTTTTTATGTCCATTCTCACAAAACTTCTACTTTGGTATGCAGACTGTATATAAGGAATAAGGTGAAACACAAATACAGTATGGGGCTCCGTTCTCGGCCACTTTTTGTTCAACGTTTATTTTTCGAGCCACAAATGAATCTGAATAAAAAGCAATTGTTTCCAAAGGTAGCTTGATTCCTTGTCTTTCGTCCTGCCGAGTTTTGAGTTTACAGTTACTATATACTGTGAGCACGTCGAGGTGACGCGAAGGTAGGTCAATTTGGTTTCGCCGAAAACGTGTTTGTTTACGACTACTCGAATTACGTGGTTTAATTCAAGTTTGTATTTTATCCGTATAGAGGGCCCAAATATCAAAACACAAGCCTTATAAGTGATTTAAAGGGACCATGTCAGCTGGAGAGCATGCGCGTTTAGGTTATGCAAATTACTTTTAACTGTCAAAATTCTATTGTTTTTAATTCGTGACTTCCTGTCACGTCCAAAGCTCCGAAATGTTTAAAGGGACCATGTCAGCTGGAGAGCATGCGCGTTTAGGTTATGCAAATTACTTTTAACTGTCAAAATTCTATTGTTTTTAATTCGTGACTTCCTGTCACGTCCAAAGCTCCGAAATGTTTAATGAGACGTTACAAGTTTGGATAACTGATCTTTTGATAGAATTTACGGAACGTTTCCTTTCTGGTTATCCTAGAAAAAGTTCACTCAAATTCTTCGTCGAGAATAAAAGTGGTAAGACAATTTTACTTGTAGTTTTGAGGTAAAAACGCGTGCCATTCATAAAAATATAGCGCAAACAAAAATTCACCAACATATTGTCGTAGTCAACAAAATAAATCAGTCTTATTTAAGAAACGACCTACAAATTTTAGACCAAAGGTAAAGACCAGGACTGTTTCAATTTACTAACAATAAGACTTGCCTCTCGCTACTGATCTTTGTAATTTAGATCGCATGCTGACAGGACAAGAGACGCCGTTTATCTGCGTTTATTGATGGCTCCGTGTTGAAGCGAAACACACATTGATTGCGCAAATTTGTTCGATCGTGCCGAATCACTGCGACGTCGAGAAAAACAGAACCAAGTATCATTGGTATTCTGCTCCATTGTAAGCAGTCCGTGAATAACAAGGGAAAATAAACTCTGCTATTTTCCAAAATATGCTCAAACACAAACAGTTCATCGTTCATAAACATGACCACCACAGAATCTAACTCGTACTGGTCCGTTGCTATCTAAGTCCGTTGAGAACAAGCTGAACGAGTAAACGGTCGTTTTTTATCGTTGTCGTGAATGAAGATAAATACAAGAAGGAATCTAGCCGAATTGTATAACATTTCCTTCGCCAGAAGATTAGTTTCGTCTCAAAACTCATGGCCACGCTGTAGTAATCGTTTAATAAAAACATCCGCCTGGAAGCGCCTCGATAGCCGCTTCATGTCAACATACTTTGAACACACACACGCAAAAAAAAATTCAAGAGCCAGCAGCCTCTAAAATGACTCAACAGAAAGTTTCTGTGAACTATAAGGAAGATTCCATTTAAGATTCCATCACTCATCGTGGAGTAGCCGTCGTTAATTCTCTGCTAATTCAACGGCCTCTGGTAAGACAATCGTAAGAGGACATTGTAAATCCATGTAAAAAAAATCCAAGGACGAACAATTTCAAAATAATGCAAAAATATTCTTCTGTAATCACCATAGAACGATTCTTAGTTCAAAACTTCGCTAACTATCGAACGATGGCTGAGATTTCAACAGCTAAAAACAGCCTTCCGAAAACTCCGACAGAACTTGAAAAAGACCGGCCGTCTTTTTCAAGTTTGTTTTCACTGGCTAGCGCATGCGCCACGGGTGACATAGCCCCTTTAACAACAAACAATGGTAATAAAGCGTTGTTTGTTCTGAGGAATCGAGCGCACTCTTTTGTGGCAGATCGATGGCCGAGAACTGGATTCGCTGGCCGATAACTGGGCCCACGAACTGAAGCCTCCATTTTCGTTATTACTTGGGAGAAAACAGCGTTGAGCAGTCGATAGCTTTACATGTGTAAACTGAATGCTGAAGCTAGTTGTGTGTGAAATTTCAAGTCCTCACGGCTATTCTAAGGTGAGAAATACAAGTTTAAGTTTTTCGTGGCCGAGAACTGGGCCCCATACTGTACTCTTTGCTACATAATTTTTAAAAACTTAAATAGCCTAAACGTGTGCTAACTACCATTTATATAAGAACCTGTTTAGGCTTACTTGGAAAATTCAGGTTCTTCGCCTCACGGTTTCACTGCCCCATTGTTCCGCTTCAGTTTATATTTCCTTTCCCCTTCACCATTTTCTCAGCCTTGATTCTCCAATATCAAATGTACATTCAATGACCAAGCAATATATTTATATTTTAACTCAAGCCACCAAAATATGCAAACCGCTTGATATATATTAAACAGTGTAAACGGGTAAACAGATTGACTGACATCACTTAGTCTCACTGGCAGGCGATTGAAAGGGAAGGGAAAGGAGGGTTTTGGTGCAAGAGAAACGTGAGGGAAGGAGGGAGGGAAATGCCTGCCAGGAGACTGTTTTTTGCATTACAAACATCCACCAGGTGAATGTTGAAATTCCTCCCTCCTTCCTCGTGCACTCTTTGCATTTCTCTCCTGCCCAAAACCCATTTCCCTTTCCTTTCAAATACCTGCCGCAGAGGCTAGACACCATTGAATAAGCAATTTGTTGCCTAGCTGCCCTGGCATATATTTCTCAGCAGCCAAATCAGTAATCCGATTCATGATACCTCGAAACTGACATAGTCATAACATCCAAACAACAACACACACTAGTCTTGGAAGTAGATTATGAATTTGTTTTCTCAAGAGTGATGTGCATATTTCTCTGAATAAAAGTAAAGTGCAAGCTTGGTGGATGTTATGAACCCCTTCTTCTACACTGCACTATTCTTGCAATTCTCCAAAAAATTATTGTTCATAGAGGATAGCTGGTTTCAAAATGCACAGGGCTTAACTGTATAAAAAAACTTATCATTTAATTTAATCTCTGTAATTCTTATCCTACTAATTTTATACCTGCATAAAGAGAATCACATGTATGACTGCAATTTTATTGTTTTTTTTCCTATTACAAAAACAGACATTTCTACATCAGGGTACTCATTAGCCTATTTATATACCAATTTCTTTATGCTCACCTTATATTATTGTTTGGAGGAACCAGTCGTTGCTGCCCCGCTATTTTGTGATTAGCTTGTGATTACAACAGTAACACTTCCAGTAACGTCTCACATTCGTCTTCGCGTGGCTACGTTTCCCATGAAAACATACCGGTTTCAATTTGGAAAAAGTATTACAAAACGTGGGGTGCGTTGGGGAGCGTTTATACCTTGGCGTAGAACAAGGTTTGTAGAAACACTTAAACCTATCTTCTACTTTCGACGGCCAATATAATGGAAATTATAGCTTCTTAAAAACCGGGTTCAGATTTCATGCTCGTCACCGCGTTCTAAAAGCCGTCGCGTCCTCGATCTAAAGCACCCTAACACGGCGTAAGGAGCTTGGGCGTTGAAACGCTCATACGCGCTCTCCGGTTCAGCTGTGATGCGGAGTAGGACTGGAACTAGTTCGCCTTTCCGCTGTCGATCCGCTGTCAGCAGGGCAAGAAAAATGGCGCCGTCTAGCTGAAGGTAGGTTCGGATTTATTGCTTTATATCTTTAGATCGCTGCAATCTATAATCGAATCTAATATTTCGCGTATTTCTATGCGATACACAGAAAACATTTTGGTGATATTTTATGGTTAGTCTTATAAGACTTAAGGTAATGTGTTTTTTCGCCTGTTATGTTTAAGATGTAGTGCCAAAATGGCCCATCGAGCATTACAGGTTGAAGGTCGCGTTTTATCTTGCCAGTCAAAACCAAATAAAAATAAACGGCTAAAAAAAAATTGTAATGGTTTTATAAATTTTGTTTGTGCATGCAAATTTTTAGAGTGAACTTTCATGAACCTTTAAGGGTTTTTTAACTTCTGAAGTGACGACTTCACAATGCCATAATTTTTTGTGTACGTTGGCGTTTAGCTTGTTAGTAAAATAAAAGATTTCAGTTGCCCAATTTAGCGATTTTGCATTTTTCAATATACACTAAGATGGTAAATATTTTTTAGTGACAGAACCGTGACCCAAGAAGGTTCTGACTATTTTTAAAGGTCTACTAGAAAATTGCATTCGAATGATCTCGTGTAACAGTCTAAACATAAACAACAACAAATTCTCTTTCACTGCGATGTAAATCTAAAGGTTGTATTGCACAGAAATAGAATGAAGGCTATGGAGAAATTTGCTTTCAAATCCCCACAAAGATTTCACCGTAAAATTAAATCATAGAATGTGTTTGTTATTATGATTTTTTACAAGACAACAGTGAGTGCCCGGCCTCAAAAGATTACTAGAACACACATAGAAAGAAAAACGAGTGCATAGTATGAAGAAGAACATGAAGAGGTCTTAATTTGAAAGCTTTTGATTGCAAGTAGCAAATTAAGACTAGGTAGCATTTGAATTTGCATGTTGTACATGTTTTATGTTGTATCTGTAAGAGTTATCTCCTAGCAATGTCTGGTTTCAATGCAAGACTAGTAAATGTTAACTTTCTTTACATTTCCTTAGTCTGTCTTGCATTGGTAGTTTTCAGCAACCATTTCATCACAAAAAGCTGTTATTATCAAACAAAATTATTGCTGAGCTAGTTATTTGTGTTCTTGCAACCTCTTTAGTAGTTTTTCAAGAGCATTGAATTTTATTTTTTTCACATATAATACTTATTCTTCATTGCACAGTAGTATTAGTGTGCAAGAGAAAAAATAATGATCCAGACGTCAATAGTGAAAACAGAGCATCTGCCCTTGAAACTGGGTAGCAAAAAATAAATGCCAGAGCAGATGACGAATTACACAACTTGATATTAAATTGAAGGGAAGAACCGATAATATTAGTCCAAAAATAATGCCAGTGCTATCATTTGGGTTGTGATACCATTTTCTTACCAAGTCACGAAAGTTACAAGTCATGGAGGTGGAAAATATATTCAATACATATAATTGTTCGCGGGGGAAGAAAATTAAACAAAACAGAAAACGAACGAGAGAAAAAATAATTTGTTCTTTCGCTATTGCTTGCAGCAAATGAATGCCACGGGATAATGGCTAACGTTAGCTGGATAATCTCTCTGACGGTCCATTATAATGTCTGCCATCTTGTTTTGTCTCCTTGGTAGTATCCAGACCCTTGCATCACAGCTAGATCTCTCGACCCCACTCGTTTCAACGCCCTAGCTCCTTACGCCCTGCTCACTAATGTTATTTTCGCACGTGAAAAGATCAGCGCCTAAATCGCACCTTTCGCAGCGGCGCCTCTGAAAGTAGCGCCTTTGTCAAAGTAGTTTTGACGCAACTTCAGAGTGACGGACGATTTACCTAACTGGAATCTAAATATTCTCGATTCAATGGATGATGATTCTAAGTCCAGATTTATCAATGTGTCAAAGGATGATGTTGGACGAGCTTATTGCTCAACAAGAAAACGAAAATACGAAGAAAAGGACGATATATGACCGGAACATTGTTCTAAAATTTCTTCGCGAGATTTGGAAAGGGAGAGAATTAGAGAAAATCCTACTGGAGAAGCTAAATGTATACTCTAGTGAATTCATTCTTGCAGCTAGAACGAAGAAAGGAGAACAATGTTTAGTACGGCGGCTTAGCTAGAGAATTATGTAGGGATATTTACATTCCCAGTCTAGTCAATTTCCGATATAGTGCCAAGCTGAATTTTTTAATTCCAGCTAATTAGCAGCAAATGAAATTAACAGATCGAGACCCCCCGCGAAGTACTTTGACTTGCTCTTTTTGGTTAGATTTAATGCGCGTCTTATTTCAAAATACAGGTAACAACAATACAGATGTTAAACTGAGATGCGAATTGTTATTTTCTCCGTTTTCTTCACTATATAAATGCGGGCCGTAATTTGGA